AAGTTTCAAAATCAGTGATTTTTTGGAACTGGTGGAAAATTATTTTTGAGATAAATGTTATAGTTGTCAGAGCGCAAGTCAGCCGGGTCAAATTTTTAGAAGAGAGTAAAATTTCCTTTCACCTCTTTGAAACAGTCTCTTAGGTTTTACTTTTTTGGCTTAGGACCAAAGTGGCCAAACAAATATTCAACTGCTTTTAGCTAGGGCAGTCATGATACCCAGAAGGTTTATCCACACAAACAAGCAAATTGCCTCTCTCTAACAACCTCAAACATATAACATGACTTGCTACATTAAGCAAGACAGGCCTTCTAGATAATCATATATTAACTGGAATTTGTCATAGTAGTCAGCTATTTAATTTCTTCATTAGAAATGACTTAGTGGTCAGGCATCAAATGTTACTTAGTAATATCTGCCCTGACAGATGTTTTCATATAGTAAGCTCTTTAATGTGCACAATATTTAAACAGCAAATTAAAACTGGAATATATAATTTATGGCTCATTTGTGAAATTTTGGTAGGCATATATTAGGCTTCATTGGGACTGACTGAACCATTTCCAAACAACAGGCTCCATTTGCAGGCTCTTATTTGCTCTTCCAGCACCAGCTAAAACTGCACATGCTACAAAACTGAATATACTTCTCCAGCCTCCTGCAGCTATTATTGTTAACCCCTATTAATATCCTCAATTCTAAAAAAACGTGCAGCATGCACATCTTACTGCCTGAAGTATTTGATTACTTCACTAATAATCTGATTAGTAAGAATAATAGGGGGTAAAAGAAACAAACAACAGGGCTTAGTTGCTAATGGAGATATGGCAGTGTATATTTTTAGAAGCTATAAGGAATGACCCACTAATTTCTGGGAGCTAACAGAGAAGGAACCATGGAAATTAGCCCAAATCAGTCCGTGATTTTGTGTGGAATATACTGGAACACAAGCCTGTAGAGCCACACTTTTTAAACATATAAGTCGTGGCCAAAAAGCAACCCAGCCCTGTTTCTGGAGATATATTTATGTCTCAGTGTGATTTTCATAAAAAAACTCCTTTTTGTTAACTTACCAGCTAAGTAACATTAATTAGCAATTCCTATGGAACTCAGCTCTTTTAAGTCACAATGTACAGAAATGACATTTAGGGAAGGCAAAATTATTTGTGTATTTTGGGGGACAAACGTAGGAGGGCAGAATGTACATTAAAATCCATTGAAAAGCACGCTGAAATGAATGGAAAAAAAGCTTTCAGTCCCCAGTGCATACTATTACAGAATTTGATCCATTAATACATAAGTAGTTTCTGCAAACTCATATACATTCAATTCTAAGCAAATGGAGAATTTTAATGAACTTTCCCGCACAAGATTACTTCACTGGAAAACAACAAATACTCAGGTATTTCTCCAGCTTTTCAAGATAAGATTTTTTAAAGTGCTCTGTTGGCAGCCTGCGAGTTTCCTGAAAAACAAATCCAACCTTTCTACCAGCTGTTTTTTCATTCTATTTCATTTTTCCAAGAAAACCATTAGCAGAAGAAGGAAACAGTAAATATAACTCTAAACAGAGCACCAGAAATCAGCACTGCAGCCTGACAAGGCAGTTCCAGCTCCGATAAGCTATATTTTGGTTTTAAAGACAGCCTTAGGGCATCCATGTGTGTAGGTGTAATAAATCATCCCACTGAAAAGATAATTACTGAGGGAAAGAAGTCTCGCTTGACAGCAATTACACTACACTGTTCAAATTAACATACTCACAGATGGTTCTTTGTTATTCCGTGTACACACAAGAAGGAAGAATGTTTCATTACATTAGTTCATTCACTTGAAAGGAAATCAGGAGCTGCTTATTAATCACACTAATACCACACGAGCTTTGTTAACTAAGAAGGCTTTTGACTGCAAAAACAACGTAGAACAAAAGCTTAATTAGGTGTTTAGACTAGCGCTTTCAAAGGCACTGAAAGCTGGATGCTTCCTAGGTGAGAGCAGCGCCCTTGCAGCTGCAGCCACGGATTCAGAAATACATCCCCAGTGCTGGCAGTTTGGGCAATGCTGGCCATTTCTGAGAATGACCCTTTGGGCAAAGAATAATCTCATTAAAATGTATATTTGCATATGCATATTCCACGCCACTCCTTTTCAATTTAATTGTAACGATTACTACCAAAACAGGAATACCTGCCCACCCATCCCTCCAGCAGCTTAACCAGTTTTCTCTTCACTGCTTTTGCTGTTGGTTTTCTCCAATCCTGTGATAGGGATGGGTGCTTCTTCATCAGCCCTGTGCTGCTTCCCTCTAGAAGTGCATTTGCTTCAGACACAAACAGGACATTTTTGCTTGACCCACTGAAAAGGACATGCTACTATTACAGGATCAACATATATCCTGCCAGCAGCTCCTTCACAGGAGAACCCGGCTTTCCTGAGGACTGTGCAAAGAGAGCAGTATCCCGACCCTCTGAGGATACATCTACTAATAGTAGTCTTGCTGCTTACTTCAACAGTACTAAATTTAATCCAGTCTTCCTCTCATGGGTTTCCTTCTGCGATTGCGTCCTTATTCCTCATTTGTGGACTGTGTTGGTGACTAAATTACAAAGCATCCAGACTCGAAAAAAGCAACATGGGGCAAATGCTTCAGTCAACACACTCATTCTTTCTGCCGTCTCCAGATAGCTAGGAGAAAATTCCCCATCCTCAACTTGTCTACAGTTTCCTCCCTGGCGACCTAATCTGAACTCTCTGATAAAACTCTAGGTTATGAGTTTTTCTGTATCAACTACAAGTTGCATTACATAGTACAAAAAAGTCGGGGAAAACAACACAGAAAATAACGACGAGCGTACCAGGTATGATCTGTCTCTGTACACCACCATGGCAGGGCTTCACTCCCTCTGTTGCTTCTACCCAGAGACATGTGTTCTCTCTCTCTGTCAGCCTGTCATTGCTCAATGAAACAATTTCCTGGCCCACTTCTGGCAACCTTCACGAGAACCAGACCATTCTTTTTTTTAACTGTTTGGAGACCTTGATTAGATAATGTAGTTTTGCCAAAATAAGGCTCACTAACATCTAGATGAAAGACTCTTGAACCAAACGGAATATCCTACTTGCCTTCAAATGTGCGCTGGGTTGCTGCTGTCTAGGGAACCCATGTGTGCACAGCAAAGTTTGTGCGTGTCCATTAGACTTATCACAAGCTCTTCTCTTTCTTGGACCATGTTCAGGGGGGATGCATGATAGTGCTGAGACACATCTTCCAGACACTTTCAATGCTCTGAGTTAGAAATCCTTCCTCTTTTGCAAATTCTGCAAAACCTCATAACCAATGCGCAGAATGATGTAAGTTCTTTGGAAGTGGTTGGAGCATCTTGCTGAAATGTATGTACCACCTGCATGTTTAATTTGAGGGAGATGGAAAAGGGGATCCATACACGCCTCACACTCACCTCTTTCACCTTCTCACTTTACAGACAACATCTCCTCATTCCTTTTTTTCTTGAGGGGAATCTATAGTTTCTCAAAGCAGATAAGGGAACAAGTTCTTGATGTGCAATTTTCAGCTCTTCTCCATTTAGTCTCCTTAGCACTTTGACCCCAAACAATTTTCTTTCATAATCCTCTAGTGTCCCTAGCTTGCAAACTATAAACAACCTATAAACCACAGGGCAGAAAACTGGGCAGCAGATTGGCAAATGTGCACGATAGAGAAACTTTCAGATAGCAGCTCTCATGTTTTCCTTAGCAGCAGGACTTACGTGTTTAGTGCTCTATGAACAGTACTTTTTTGTCGGGGAAATTAGTTCATTACGTGACTGGCTGCCATACATTTCTTTATCCATGCATTAACTGAGAGTTTCCAGTTAAAATTAAATTAACTTTATCTCCAAAAAGCCTGTGCATCTCTTCTGCTGCCAATTACTCTTTCGTTTTCTCCTTCTCTCTACCCCCACAACTTTTTTCCGGCAGCTCCTGCACTCTTGCAGCAACCACAGTGACTGGCAAACCTGACCACGGGTTAGTATCATCCTCGCTTTACCTCGTGCTCCCTTTCCTTGCACAAATCTCCCTGGAGAGCGCCACGGGAGGACCGCTCACACATCCTCAGAGCTCCTTTCTCTTGTTTCCTTGAGCTCTGCCAAACGAGTAGGAGCAGCAGTTAAGCTTCTTCCTACATCCTCAGCTTGCACCTCTGCTCAGCACTCCAAGACACGTGGTAAGCAGGAGCCTATGTCTAAGGCTCTCTCTTCAGCTTCCTCGGGCAGAGATGACTTTGGCTGGGGAAATCCAAATGCCCCATGGCTTTCTGGACATGCTATATGCAAGTCTGCAGTGGTCTTATAGTGCACTGGCATGATTGTACAGATCCAGAATCTTGTATGTTTTGACAACTTGCATGCTTAGAGTCAGAAGATACAGAGCATTTTTGCCCAAGAAATCTGCCACATGCAACTCCAACCTTTGTGTAACACAGCTTATGCTCCACACTTCCCTATCTGCACTATATATATTCTTGAAGTACATGGTTGCCCCCTCCTTACATGGCAGCCAAGTAAGCAAGGATTTCCATATTGACCTACATTAGTAAGTGACACAACAACCGTCTGTTGAATCTCACTTCTAAAGTCCAAATCAACCATTTTCTGATTAGTCTAAAGTGTAATGATTAGTACGAGCTACTCCCTCTTGTTAGTATTATTGGACTCAGAAGGTTGAGTGTTTTATAAAAGAACGGACAGAACAACATATTTCTACTGCACAACAGAAACAAATACTTATGAGGCCATTTTTTATCATCATCATCAAAAAAAAAAAAAAAGGCAAAAAGAATGAGATTTTTTTAAAAAGTGTTTTAGTCCTGGAGCAAAAGAACCTCAACATTTTTTCCCCAAACACAGATCAATGGACCAGACCACTCACCTAAGAACACTGCAGAAGCTGTCACACAGAAATGGCACTCAGAACAAAGACAACCACGAACGCTGTCTTACCTTGACAAAATGTAGCATTGATCCTCTTGTAGCCTTGGGGGCATTCCATCATCGGGCTGTACCCATGGTAAGCTGAAGGAAAAATCACATCAGTTAAATACTGCTGTGTTTTAAATCCTTTTTTTGGTGAGCATTAGAGTCATCATGTAAGTATGAAAAAGTAGTAAAAGTTTTTATTGTGGAAGTATAATACAAAAAAATGCAAAATGAAGGATGTACAAGAAACCTTAATTCCATCTCTTTCTGCACATATATCATTGAAATCTTCAGTTGTTCAAATTTGTATTTTTGATTCAAAAAAATAAATTCTGAAATGAGGATGTTATCTTTCACCTAGTTCTCAAAGGCTTATCTTGCCAAAACAGCTACCAATATAACCTTGCAAAAAAATAAAGTTGAAGAATTGTGACAGAAAGTCAGTGGTTTTACAACTGAAAGCAGCCCTAGAACACAAAACAGGCCGCAATGTCAAGCAGAGTAGTTGGGTACTGTTTCTCCTGACACAATGAATTAAATATTATTTGAAATGCACAGGAAACAGGAGCAACTGAATTTTTAAAATGAGGCAAAAAGAAAAATGACACATTTGTGATTACCTATTAAAGTTTCTGAAATATAGAAGACTGTGTAACTTATTGGCTGTTCACAGTAAAATGTCAAGGGCATGATAACGCTACAAAACACAGACCGAGTTCAATTTTGCCAAAATAGAAAGCGTTCAGTTAACTAGAGTTTTATTTCTATTTATTGTTTCTTTCCTCCACTTAAGGTGGCCTTTGAGACCACAGAAAACTGTTTATTGATTCTTAAATTGTTATAACATCATAAATGAGAGCAGTAACTTCTTTGTTTGACTACATACTAAAAGCCAACCTTTTGGCAAAGGCCAGTACTTTATTAAACATATAAGCCTAAACTTCTGGCACTATGATCTCACAAGCGCGTTTAGTAAGAGCCAAGAGAGTTTTTCATAATTTGAATGCTACAACAGAGATACCTTATATTTTGTTTTCCTTTAAGAGTGTTTTATTATAAAAAAAAAAAAAAAGAAAATGCATTACTTTCCATCTTTACTGTATATAAACTGTCAAGTAAGATAGAACAAAGTGAGTGAGATTATGCTTGCAATTGGCTTTACTTCACATATGAACTGTACATTTATTCCCGCAGCTTAATTCAACCCCCACTGTGGGGGTGAAAAAAAAATAAATAATTTTTTTAAACTTTTGCTATACTCTAGAAAAATCTAAGGTATGATCTTGAGTGGATCCTGAACAGCTTTTGGAGTGAGACAGCTTTATTTTAAAGCACTGTGAATTATCATTCAAATAATCGCTTAATTATTTGGGACACTCTCTGAAGACTGCTCAAAGTGGGTAAGTGCAAAAACAGTACAAGTAATAAGAATGGCAGCAATGTTTTCCTGCTTTTGAGCACACGGGCCTTCCATCTTTACACTGATTACAAGCGTTTTAATATAAATTAAAAACTGAAAATGCTGCTCACCACTGTACCAGAAGCAGCCACGTGTTCATTCTCCAGCCAACCCCAATGAGATCACAGCGTTAACACCAAAATCCATTTTGATACTTGTATGTGAAGTCTAATGCGAGATTCTTCAAACGTGCTCTGCATTAGCCCATTCTTGCTCTCCCAAAAGACAATGACACTCAAATGCTAACTTTGGCAGTCAGATTGCCAATTAAACGTCCACCCTAACGCACCTGCCCGTGCGCCTGCAGACCCGGTTCACCCACGCTGAGACCTGGGCAGCGCGGAGCTCTCCCCATCCCACATGCAGACCCTGGGCAGCTGTGCCAGCCCCTTCCCGTGCAGCGAGGCGCTTGGCCCTTGCACAGAGCAGCCTCTGCTGTTCCCAAGAGCACCGGTGGAGCCCGGTCAGGCTTCACCATCTCCTTCCCTCCTCCTCCTCCTGCGGTGAAGGGGAAATAGTGGCTTCCTGGCAGCTGTTTTCCTCCCTGGACAAAAAGCAGCCATGTAAGCAGGTCCCGGCAGAGTGAGGAGGGCGCTCAGGGATGCCCAGTCATCCATGTCAGAGCTGGACGGAGTCCTGCATCGCTGAGTCTTTACTCACTCAGACAACCTGTTATCAATCATTAACTGTTAGGAAGTAGCCGGAACAATCAAAACATTCCTAATGTAACATAGAAATGTAGTTTGATTTAAAAATCTTCAGACATGGAGATCTGTTCTTAAATTTCTTCTTGCATTTTCCAGTAATACTGACTAGCCTGCAAGCTTACAGACATAGGATTCCTGTCTTGGGCCCAGGCCTCTAACTTAGCAACAGGGCAGCAGGCCCTGACTGAAGTGGCTGTGAAGCAAACAAAGTTCTACTCAAGTCCATATGAACAAGACACACATTTAGGTTCATCCTTAAGTATTTGACTTAAAGGAAAAGAAAAGAAAGGACATTCTGAAGTGCTTGCTACTGAGACTGAAGTGCATGCTTAAATACCTTGTTGAACTGGGTTTTGCAGGTGACACCATGTTAAATAGAACCTGCTTAAATCTTTTTGTAAAAACAGGTCAATCTTTAATGAAGTTTATGAAGCATAAAACCATAAAAGCAAAAGGAAATCTGCTTGCTTCCAAAATGACTACAATCAAAAGGGAAATACCCATGTAATGAAAAAAGTGTCAAAATGACACGGGAATAACCTGGCCAGAACTCTACCTGCTGAGACACAACCACGGGCACCACTAAACTGATAACCTCTTACTGATCTACTTGAATCCTTCAAATTATTTTTTTGATTCTGTATATTGATCTGTGTGATCTTTAATCCTGTATAGCTATACATACTATTTCCACCACTGAAATGTTCTCGTATTGTGAAAAATAAAAATACACAATGAAATATACGATGCCTCCTTAAGCAGGCACTCCACAGTTTTATTAATTCCCATCACAAATTTATATTTATCTTTGAAAACAGTTTACTGTACAAGAGCAAAATACTGATACTTTAAGACCCTTACTACAAAGGGCACTTAGGTCCAGGTTCAAAACAGAGCTGAAAATGCAAGTTGTGTGCCTAGGTTCAAACCTGACATACATAAAAATCCCACTAAATTACTCTGAAATCATTTGAACTCCCGCAACACTAACTTACCACCTCAAACTACTTCAAAACTGAAAATTCACCATTTGCACACACGTAGAATTGTCATGCCATGGAATGACGGGGTAGTTTCATGATGCTTAACTCATTCCTAAATGAAATCTAGGCTGAGAAATTACGCATAGTTCCACGAAAGCTTCCTGAGAGGTTCCATCAGTGAATGCTTTTAAAGCATATACCAGACAAATCATATTCTATATAACGCAATGTAAAATGACACTTTTTAATCTAGAGAGAGTGCACTCACCTCCCCATCCCTTCTTAAAATGACAATGCAAATGACAAAGGTGCCATCTAGAATGATAAGTAATGCATCTCTCTCTATCTAGGAGGCTCAAATCCTCACTTTCCAGGAATTCCTTAGCCACATGGCTGGATAATTCCAAGTGGCAGCATTCTCTGTCTCTCCTCTTGAAATTACAAAGTTACATGCAAAAAACAATTCCAGATTAATTGTGCCAGAAAGCATGAGTGAGCATGACTCATACCTTTAGTAATTAAGGACACTCACTGGGAAAGAGACAGGATTACCATTCCTGTTCCAAGAACTGTTGCTACATTTTACAGGCTAGGGCATCTCCTCATAGGTATAAAATGTAGACATGAAACTCTTCTGGCAGAAGAAGGATTTCTGAATTGCCCCATCTTGAGCGACTGTGCTAGCTGGCAAGCTTTATATTAAAAGGAAGGTACTCCTATCATCAGCATTTCAGAAAGATGATTCTGCTTAGTTCTTTGAAAAAGAACAGTAGACTTTCCTTCAGGAGAGGTTTCTGGGGTGTGTATGCCAAGTGTGTTCAGACAGTTCTCTGTACCCCTGTTACAGAGAACTTTTCCCCAGGGGAAATCCCTGGGGATAGCATTTAAGACCTGGTTTGCTCCAGTGTTTCCCTAATGGCTTCCTCATAACAGCCTGCGAAGCACATCAGTATCAGGCAACTCTCTCATCACCAAATTGTCTATTGCGGATCCCAGGCTAAAGTTACTGGCTAAACCAACAGATTTAGTCAGTAAGTAATTTCCTCTTAGAATTTTTTTCATGCACTACCCTAGATTTCTGGACAAAAATATGCTTTCAAAATCAAACAATTAATGTTTCAAGTGTTGCTCTCTGTAGGGCTAACAAGGACCTAGGAGGCAACTCCTTGCACTCCTTCTGGCTCACTAAATGTGGGCCTATTCCCTCTGCAAAACAGAGATCACGTTGTTCACCTTTATCTTCTATTTAGTTATAAAATCATCACAAGTACTACTATTCCTGTGCAACAATAATATCATTCACAAGAGTTTAAGAGACTGGCTTCAGTTTTCCTGCGAGACATTTGAAAGCTCTTTCTCATTACAATATGATGTCAAAACGTAACAAAACTGTGAGGAAAGTCTTTGTCATAGCTAACTGTACAGGAAAATACCTCAAAAACAGAATAAAAAATGAAACTGAAAACTTTAGAGTCTAGAAAAGTTTGGCTTCAAGCTTGAAAGTTCATATGCAGTCTCAAGAGGTCCCTGCATTCTCTCCAAGCAGTAACTGGCGCGTCTATAATTTAACATTTCAGTGCAAAATTAAAAAAAAAAAAAACAGCTGGAAGAGACAACATGATTCCAAGTCATTACCCTTCCTGCACCGAGCAAACGCAACAGTGCGTCACTGACTTAGGAGGAGGAGGAGGAAGGAAGAAGAATCCCAACCACATCAGCTTTGCTGGCTGCGCTGAGTGCCTGCATGTTGTAACTCTGCTGGCACGCAAGAGAATTCCAGCTTCTGTGACCTGTCCCTAATCACACCACGCTGTTCTTTCAGCTACGTTCCTTTGCATAAAAAATAAAAGAAAAACGCTACTGGGGTGGGGGGGAAGCTATAAACCGATGCAGAGAACAATAATGAAATAGCACTTACACGGCTTCTTGGGACATTTCTGGCATTTGTTAAAACCCCAGGAAGTACCCACAGTTCCACAGCAGTCTTCTTGCTTTGAAAGGCCAGGAAGTGCTTTGCCACACTGGAATAGTTAAGTAAAGAACAGTTAGGTTAGTGATACTGTACGATGTTTACCTCTTGTATAATGTTTTCCTCCAGTCATCTTGGGTCAGCCTTTTCCAGTGTAACTGAGACACTGAAGATTTTCTTCGCACAACTTAAATAGTGCCCTTGCACTGGAATGGCTCTCTGCACCAGAATGAGCAGTTTAGGTTTCGAAATACATTACTGTCTCCCCCCGCTTCAACTTGAAAAGAAGGAGAAAGAAACAGAAGAGAATAGCATGTCATAGGAATGAGTGAGTATATTTCCAAGCTAGTAATTCTCCACTGGCACAAACTCCTTACATTTCTCCTAATAAAAATCTGTTTCTTCACTTCTGCAAAAGCTGTACAAATTATCTCAAAGATCTTTCTCATTATTCCTTAAAGAAGTGGACAAAAAGTATTACCATAATTTCTATAACGTAATTTTCTATTATTAAAAAGCTTCAGCTTCTAGCCAGGCTATGTTTAACATTTATGACCATCTACTGAATATTGCCAAATGAAAGACTCCCCTGTCTAGATACTGAAGGGGAAAGTTACACAGATAATAATACAGACAAGATAACTGAAATGAAAATTAGTGATGCCTGTGTTATTCCAAATAGATGTCCTTTTTCATAGTATGACATATGCAAATAATAATATTAATCTTGCAGTCCTTTGGAAAATAAATATTCTTAACATTTAATCCTGAAAAATAATATTCTGGTTACATACTCTATTAGTAAAAACACCAATGCTTAGAAGCACACAAGATATGATTTGCATTTTTAACTTTTCACAATTTCTTTCTATTTTGCATAGTATACAAAGTTTAAATATATTTCTCTGCGAGATGTAGACATTCAAATATATGTCTAAATATGACAATCAGGTATAAAGGAGAAGCGCACGAAATAGAAAGGAAACTCATAACAGATCCAGTTAGCAACACACCTTCAAAGCAAATACTGATACAAACAGGCACCCCAGCAAAAATTTTAAATGTGCTGAAGTGTCTTGCTATGGAA